CTCTCCCCAGCCTTCCGCTGCTAATTAAATCGAAGATAGCGGCCACGATTTTCGTTGAGAAAATACTGAGCACTCGCGCGCCAAAATTACGCCTGCTCTGCACGCTATATTAACCTGAAAATCAGCTACTGAGAACTAGGAAACCGGGATATAAATTATCCTAAGACTTAACCCCGTAACTCCCAAGATCTCATTGGTAATTCTCCTGACTGTCTGCCAAACGATTCTCATTATGTTAGTTTGGAGAATTTGGTATGGGATCAATTAGTAATATAATCCATAACTGACATTTTTCTTTATTCGCATCACTTGTCTGCGTGATACTGTATAGATATAATGAGGATAAATTCTGTCTTGGTCACTCACAGGAGTTAAAGGGTTAAACTTCGATCACCTTGGCTACCACATTGAAACTTGAATGATCATCTTTCTTTCATTCCATGACCCTCAAGCTCAAATTTCCCATGTGAATAGGACCAGGGCTGGGTTGTCAAAGCTGGGTTAAGATAACCCAGGATTACTGTGAAATCTGATTTCAGATTTCTGAAAGCTTTAAAAGAAAATACAATCAAATTATTTTTGTCTAGAATATGATTACTGGATGCTTAAAAAGGATCCAGAAAATTATCCTGCCAAAAAGGATTAAAATTTAACCTTGGGTAATTGCTAATCAGCCTTCAAACAACTGGGTCCTGGGCTGACACCTATGCTTGGCAACCAGACTCAAACGTTCCATATGAACAGCTAGAAGCCAAAATTTCTCTTACTATGCTGAATCCAGTATGGTCATCAGGCTAATATTATGAGGTCATTTAACCCTATCACTCCCAAGATTTCAGTATCAATTGTCCTTACTGTCTCTCTTGCATTTCTTTAATCTAAGCTCTGAGAATTTGTTTTAGAATTAAAGAATATTCCCTTGCTGATTACTGTTTTATTTTTGCCATTGTTTGAAGATGATAGTATATTGAGATTTCTTGGAAAAATTATTTCTTTATCTCTCCTGGGGGTGAAAAAGTTAAAAAATTCATAATTAAGTCAGATTATTTATTTCCATGATGCGATTATTTGATGGTTTTCCCAGGAATGATTCACCCTCTAAGGAAAGGAGTTATCTGATGTAGTTAATTTATTTACCTTTTTTAATAACAATAAGGAAAAAAGAGAGGAAGAAAAATATATATTTTGATAAAACTGCACCTTAAACCTTAAACTCCCATGAGTGACCAGGTCAGAATTTCTCCTTACAATATCAATACAATATCAACCAGATAAGTGATGAGAATAAAGTAAAATATCAATTTCGGGATAATTAGTTGATGCAATACTGAATTGTCTGAACTAACATTATAAGAATTATATGGTTAACAGTAAGGAGAATTAAAAATTGGATCTGGGAGTTAAAGGGTCAAGGATCTGATATCAAACCAGGGGTGGGTCCATACATTCTCAAAGGGAGGTGTCCAAACTTCACCTCTGAAAAGCCAGGATTATTTTGTTACTTTAAAACATAAAGAGCAAGGAAATATTTCAATAAAAGTAAATTTTAAATATTTCATGCTAAGTTGTAATTTGTGACCCTGTTGACTTGCAAGAATCTTGAGATAAGACAGGTGATCAAAAGACCTACAGGTTTGATAAAGCAGTGTGAGGAGGATCCAAACCTAATGAGTTTATTACATTTATTTCCTTTTTCATAGTCTCTGTAAAATTCACCATTATAGGGCCACAAGTTTATTAGCTCCGGCTATTTCATGTTAACCCTCATAAAATATAGTCTTTACTTACTTACTTACTTAGTTACATGATGATGATAAATTATAAAGTACCACAACCACTTATTGCTTCACCTCTATTTTGCATTTGGAGCCCAACATTGCAGAATTCATTTAGGAATGAACAATTGAATAGTATGGAACACTCTGATGCAGTATCTTGGAATATATTGGGCATGAGTTGTCAAGAGGATTATAGTTCATGTAAGGGGCGCATGTATGACGAGATATGAAGTGCTTTTCGAAATCAACACAACTAGGAAGAATAAATTATACAAAATACAAAATTATCCATAGCACACCAGTCAAAGTAAACTCCTAAACCCTCTCTTCATGGTGCTTGCACACACACCGCCCCACCCGGTCTGGAGATCGACAAGTCATTCCTCGACATGACGTCAGTACCAGTGAAGCCTCGCTTCCGTTCACTAACTGGCGCCATATTTGATTTGCTATAATGTTGCAATAGTGAAAACATCGACGCTGAACACATGGATAACGGAAAAATGCTAAATCAACTTGCTTCTCTGAATGGCCTAATTCTCGCCTTGACAGTAGTGATACTCATAAAACACTCTTTCCCTCCTTTCCTAGAGAAAATGGACCCATTTCACCGGTAAGCTTTTAAATCGGATTCGATCGAGTTGTTGTTGTCATTTTAAAATCCCTAACACACTTTTCGGCTTTAAAAGAATGACTAATAAATAAGTTTCTTTTATTCTCAGACGAAATAATTTGGCTTTTTTTCTCCTTCCTCAACACAGTAGACATTGTTCCTATAATAACAGGATAGATTTTGCCTGGAGATAATATAAAAGTTTAAAATTTTGAATTACAAATATGCGGGGTTCATAAAATTAACCGTTAAAAGTGTTATACTCACTCATTCAAATATTTCAGGCACAGCACAAGTTATAGAGGCATTATTCGATAATCAGTTTAGTATCGACTTCAAAGTTTTGCTCGTCTTTAATCTAAAAAGATTGGTTATTTTAGAGCTACCTGTAAATCTTTCGTGCATTTAAAAGCTCACATGTAGCGAATATTAAAGATTGGATTTTATATTTCATCTGAACTTACATTGAGAAGGTCTGTAATTGAGCCCTGTTTGTTCTAGTAACTAAAAAAAACAAAAATAATAGATATCAAGGTCTCATAGACTACTATTCCTCAAATGTTCTTCGAGTTTTTTTTTCCCGTGTAGATGGGTCTCGAACTCATCTCGTATTCCGTTTTCATAACAATATACTAACAGAAGTTTTTGCTCGAGCTGGTAAAACAATAGCTACTTAAAACGTAGTTTGTGTATAAACAAATGCTCCCTTTTGTGCTGGAAACAATATGAATTTAAAAGGTGTCATGATTTCTGGTTGATTGCTCATCAACGTCACGATATTGTGATTGCAATCTCAAGTAATGTGTTGCCATCTCGATGGTTATAAAGAATTTTACAACTTAAGAGATGCCGTAGTGTGTTCGAGCTTTTCTGCTGGCGCACAATATTCTAAAAAAATTTGTTCTAATTTTCAGCAAACTTGGAACTGATCAAAAACCATGAGTTCCCGCTCAATTACGGAATGAGATGTTTTATGAGACATTAAGACTCTGCGTGATTCTCGCTTGGGTACCAATATCCGAAGGTAAGTTTTGTAGTTGTTATTTTGAAGTTAATTGTATGAATGATATCCATGGAAAACTTAGGCAGGCTGATTCAGTTCGAGAGAATAAATGGAAGTTTCTATAGAGAGTGTGGTTCTGTATCGGTGGGGTTATCACAACATAATTTGGTTTTATCAACTGAGTTGATAACGTAAATTTCCCACCATGAGTCCCTGAAGCTGAGCGTTAGCCCTTCGTTAGAGCGAAAGGCGAATGTTTATGGCATAAATTCTCGTTGTTTCTATAAAAAAATCCAAATGATCTCGATTCGAGAGAAATCGTACGCTCTGTCAAACATCCAAAATTTTCAATCACTTTCTGCATCAGTAGGCGTCGAGTGCGTTTGTAGCAACATAGCATGAAAACTGTTAGAAACACGGAGATCCGAAAAGATAGAAATTGGAAAATGGAAAATAGAATTAATCTTCTCGATAAGCATCTTTTTTTGCCTCACACTAAGAGCTCATGAACTGTCTGGTTTTCCAAAGTTGACAAATTTTGCAAATTTATTTGTGTTGATGTTCATTACATATACATATATATATCACAGGCCTTTTTGATTAAAGCGCTACTTCTCATTATAAATCGATACATTATCCAGCAAACAGGCAATGAGAATACTCAAAGATATCACAGGTAGAAGTTACAAGGAAATGTGTAGCAGCAAGAGGGGAGAAATGACATTCAGATCTTAAGAGCTAAAGCGCAGTTAGTGCATCGCGGGAAATGTAGATTAAACTTTTTGAAAAGGTAATCGCCATTGGCAATTCTTTCCAATCTTCTTCAGCTTTCCCTATCCTTTGTCTGTTTGGTTAACGTGTTCTTTTATACTCTCACAACTATGGCCCATTAACCTTCTACTCTCCAGAAACAAGTATTTATAATCTCCATACAATTCTTCATACGTTTCCAAGGGTGCTGACAGGGGAGAATTTATACAACAATCAAGAGCTCATTTAGTTGGTGATTACTTTCGTGACCCTAATGTTTGATTTGGGGTGTTAATAGAAATTAGATAAGAAGGTTTCATTCTTATTAACGACAGTTGTCAGAGAGCCAAAGGCAACTTAAACGTTTTCTAATGATACAACAGTAGTCGCTTTGATCAAAACTATGACAAAATTCTCGAACGTGATTGGTTATCACCAACCCGATTTGAGCACCAATACGACAGTGTATGCGTCATGCTTGTAATTGGTCAGTGTAATAAGACAGGTACCATGTCATGCCTGTGTAAGTGGGCTTAGTTTTTATTAATTGGTTCTTCCAATACTGTCTGTAATTATATTCGTGATTAACAAATCGGACTTCCGCTTCGCGGTCGTCCGATATTGTAAATCACTCGTATAATAACAGACTGAATTGGCTCCACTCGGTCCTATTACCATTATTAATTACTGTCCCAATTGATACCGTGAATTTCATTGGGAGATAAAATTTCTTAATTAGCTGAGAAACTCTGGCGATTTTTGCTAAGGGGCTATCTTGATCAAAGTAAAATTTTAAAACTTTCTGGAAGTATAATTGTAATCTGCAAAGAACTGATCCCTGAAACTTTCAGGACTTAACAAACCGTACGGTGATTTCTTCAAGTTGCACACGCAATTATTGTTGGCGGAAGTTACCGAATGTTTCTCAATATGACAGCATAAGTTTCATCAGAAATGAGCTATGTTATACACAACAAAGGCTTCTCGGAGAGGTAATTTCACTTTCTCTTTTGCTAAGAAAATCGAGACCCATCATTAAGCAGAGTTCCTCATAAAGGCGAATCTGAAGTTTGTGCTCGCGAAATACTAGAGACAGTCGTGTCTAGCTTGTTCAAGTAAATTTTCATAGTTAAACGACTGAGCTGGTAATCAATTTATAGTGGGTATGATTCCTCGATGTTATCCAGTTTCATTAGCCTAGCGCGTTTCAAGGAAGAGTGACTCTTTCTGACACGTTTTAGGAATTTTTGTTGTTGCGTAAGGAACGCCCACCAGTTGTCTAAACCGTAAAACACTTCCTGTAGGTAAAGATCCAACGTAAACATTTGGTTGCCCCTCTTTACTTGAGAAAAGCATTTATGAAATAGCACTGTGCATGACGATTGCAACATTTTTATACACGTTTTGGGCCAAGGATCATCTTATCTTACATCACTGCATGTTAGTTGTGTTATATGTCTCACGAAAAAAGCATAATTGGTGTTCCAACACAGGTTTCTTGTTTCTTCCTCGTCTTAGGTGCCGCGCCTGTGTTCAGTCCTGGTTCCTATAGCGGTAATGTTGACGAAAATGTGCCCACAGACACCACTGTCAGCGGAATCACTCTGTCAGCGTCTGAAAGTGGTGGAGGCAGTGTTACTTACTCGATTATAAGTTCGGCGGGACCATTCAAACTGAGTGCGAATGGAACAAAAGTGCTCACTAATGGGTTAGCTGTTAATTTTGAGGCACAGAACTCGTACACTCTAACAGTTCAGGCTGAGTCCGCAGGTAATTATGGAACAGTGTGATGACGTGAGTGAATCGGTGTCTTTAACTAGAGTAAGCCTGGTACTAGTTCGCGGTAAAAATGACACGTGATAATTACACCCCGCATGAAAAATGACGCGCTCGGTCAAATTATGCGGTGCGTAAAAACTACCCGAGATTTTAAACAACATTGCCTTCGTAAATTGAACTTGGAATCTTTACCCACGATTGCCAACTCATTTAGGTGAATTATTTCTCTATTACCTTATTTATTACGTACAAAAGCACAACTGACACTCAATGCATCATGATTTCACTGAATGATTTTATTGTACAAAGCTTAGTCAAATCATTCTAGAACTTACTGATTAATTTTGACAAATCACTCTTACATGTGTCCTGATCATGATCTGACGCTCTTCGTTCACAAGTGACAGTTCTTTTCAGGTCTTGTCTACCTGCACCTTTGCGATCACATTCTATACGACGAAGAAGTGTAAAATAATGGTTGTAAATAAATAACCTTTCTCATTCTTACAGGTGGAACAGCAATTGCAAGTGTAACTATTACGGTAAACGATGTCAACGAAGCTCCAAGCTTTACGCTGTCTTCGTACAGCGGTGAAATTTCAGAGAACAGCGCTCATGGAGTTGATATCATTACAATATTTGCTGTAGATCCTGATGGTGGGGATACGCTGACCTATAGCCTCTCGGGCTCGGGTGAGTTAAAAAATAAAGTTGGTTTTATCGACGAAATAAGATTGACACTAAAGAAAACTTACAGTTATGGTGTTCAACTTGTGCGACTAGTTGTCCTTACGGCTACCGCTGTCATACGGAAGCATACCTTGTAGCAAGTTTATTGTAAATGAACAATAGCCTTCATTTGACTTGAACATGCTGAGATATTTACCCGCGGGCATCGTCTATTCCGAGGAATAGACGAGGAAAGTGGAATTCCCTAGTTTCAGCTAAGACACGTGGTGACATTAGAAGTTGAACCAATCACGCACAAGCAAAAACATTTGAAAGATTATTGACTAAAAAGATCAACAATGAGGACTAATCCTTCCTTTCGTTGCTAAGGTTCGTCGCTGTTCAATGCGCTGAGCAATGGAATCATTGAGGTCGCTGGAAGCCTTGACTTCGAGACAACACCTAGTTATTCCTTGACCCTGACAGCAACAGACTCGGGCTCTCTAACTGACACGACAGCAGTTGTCATCTCAGTCAGGGATGTTAACGAGAGTCCCTCATTTGTTGGTGCGCCATATTCTTCTATCGTTCCAGAGAATGACGCTGCAGCTAGCGTGGTGACTGTAGCCGCTACTGACCCAGACTTAGGTAGGTTTAACGATGACAATTCTTGTGTCCACAGTAGTCACAGCGTAGCTCGCTAAAAGAAGGTTCAGGGTCTCGAAATTACTTCTAGAGTTGGGTTCTGGTGTTGTTAACTTGGAGGTACACTTGATTTGCTTTATGGAGGTTTCACCTCATTGCAATTTTGCCCTAACTTTTCTCCCCCCTAAAGACGAGTTCGCTCCATCAACTTTAACAAGTTCGCCCCTTCCCCTAAATTAGTTCGCCCCCAAATCTTCGACTCGATAACATGGCACATTGTGACTTTCTATCATTTTCTGTCATATTTAACATCAGTTGATTCAGACCTTCAGACTGTTTACGAAAGTTTCTCTGACAGCTTATTTTTATTTACTTTGCAGGAGATTCCATCACATTTTCCCTATCTGGCGCCAAAAGCTCCGACTTTACCATCCACCCTACAAGTGGAGTTGTCACCCTCAACAACGCCTTGAACTACGAATCGCTCAACCTCTATTCACTCACTGTAACGGCGTCGGATGATAACAGTTATGGCAACGGAAGCGTGACGTCAACATCTTTAACCGTTACGGTGACCAATCGGAATGACGTACCAGTCTCTCTCAGCAATTCTTACTCGGCTACAATTGCAGAGGACGAACCTGGTGGAACAAATGTGTTGAAAACCGGCGCTTCCGACGAAGACGGACACGGAATCTTGTTTAGCTTGTCGGGAAGTTCTGATTTTGATATTCTCAACACGGGAATGATTCGTATTAAGACGGGAGTCACTTTAGATTACGAGACACAAGATAGTTATAACTTGACTGTGGAGTTTTCCGATGGTACAGCGAGTATATCTAAGTTTGTATCCATCACCGTGCTTGACAGAAACGACGCCCCGACACTTCCGAGTTCTCCATACTCCACGAGCGTTTCCGAAGAAGTATCGATCGGCACGAGTGTCTTCGTCGCCAGCGCAAGTGACCAGGATGGGGATTCGCTGGTGTATTCATTGTCCGGAGCTGGTGTGACGCACTTTACTATTGACTCTGAAACGGGAATTGTAACGACCTCTCAGGCACTGAACTTCGAAGATACCATTTCTTATTTTATGACTGGTGAGTATAGATTATTTTCAAGAGAGTTCTGTTTGTATCCAAAAAGAGATTTTCTACCTCAAAAGCGGGACTGATTCGTTAAACGATCGCGATGTAAACCAGCATATTATGAAATATATCTTTCCCCCCTGTGAATATATGTTATGTCTTTAGAAATTTGCTTAAACACCATGGTTGTGATCATGGTTGTGAATGCTCAAAATCGTTATCCTGCTGTTTTACTCACTGTTCGTCTGCTGTTCTGCCAGGCACTGTCCTCGTCAGTCGATGAGGTTGGACCTGTTGAGTAAGACTGGCAGTCTAAGAGACGAAACGCTGCGCTTCTCGACTTTGCAACCAATGATGACTCTAAATCGTACTGAAAAGCGATTGTTCATCCATTTGTAACAAATTGTGTGCCTGTGCGATCCCATTCTCAGATTAACCTTTTGCAGTCTTGCAACTGTATCTATGGTTTTTTTATTATTTTGTTTGGAGGTCTTTCTGTTATATACTTTTGCTTCCTTTTTAATCATATATCACTCATATGCTCTTACTTCTCCCCCATAGTACATGTTTCTGATGGAAAAGGCGGCCGCGACTCCAGCAGTCTCACCATCAGTGTAACTGATGCAAACGATGCCCCACAATTCCTTGGGGCGCCATATACGGCGGCTATTGATGAAGGGCTTTCAAGTGGATTCACCTTACTAACGGCTTCGGCAATCGATGATGACAGCGGTGACACGCTGCAGTACAGTCTTTTGGGTACCAACAACGCTGACTTTGCGATATCAAGCAGTACTGGTCTTATAAGCACTGCAAAGAGCTTAGATTATGAAACAGTGACCTCATACGCCCTCACTGTATCAGTGCAGGACGGCAAAACAACCGTAACAACCTCTTTGACAATTACTGTAAACAATAAGAACGATGCACCCGTGTTTAAGAACGCGCCGTATCTAAAAGCGGTTGATGAAAACGACGCAGGCGCACCCGTATACACTGTGAGTGCAACAGACCAGGATACCGCCGACAGCTTGCGGTATTTTCTCTCTGGCTCAGGTTCAGCTGATTTCGTTTTACACTCTTCCACAGGAGTCATAACTCTGTCTCGCGCTCTCAATTATGAATTAACACCTTCGTATTCCTTATCGATCCTTGTGCTTGATAGCAATGGGGAAAGCTCAACAACGAATCTTCAAGTGACAGTGAACGATTTGAACGAATCGCCAAGATTTGTTGCAACACCATACAGTGTGAGTATCGATGAAAATCTTCAAACAGGATTCCATGTTGTACAAGTAACCGCGACTGATGAGGACAGCGGTGATTCTCTAACATATTTTCTATCCGGAGAAGACAGCAGTCACTTTGAAATTAACTCACTCACAGGCCTGGTGACCACTACACAACCTCTAGACCGGGAGACCTTGCACTCCTATGCGCTTTTTATCAATGTAACTGACGGTACAACTTCTGTCACCGAGCCACTGTCAATCACCGTTCTTGACAAGAATGACGCGCCTTCTTTCACCGCAGGCTCCTACGCTGTCAGCGTGGTCGAAAACGACGCAACAGCCGTTGTTTACACAGCTAACGCAACAGATCAAGATAGTGGCGATTCTTTGACGTTTACTCTAACTGGATCTGGAAGTGTGGACTTTTCGCTTAACCCTATCACAGGCGTGGTGACTCTGACACATGCTTTGGATTTTGAGGCCACGCCTGTGTATTACCTCACTGTCACAGCCAGTGATTCGAACGGAGGTGTGGCCACTACAAGCCTTAATGTGACAGTTGTCAATCAGGACGACTTGCCCCAGTTTGAAGGTACACCGTACAGCGTGAATATCGATGAAAATCTCCCTGCAGGAACCACCGTGGTAACAGTACAAGCTAGCGATGAAGACGCTTCAGACGCTCTGAGCTACAGCTTATCTGGAGCCAATAGCAATCATTTTAGAATAAGCTTAAGCACCGGAGTTATCACCACAGCACAAGAGCTCAACAGAGAAAATATTAGTTCTTATATACTGAACGTGTCGGTATCAGACGGCAATGTGACTGTTGTTGAACGGATAACTATCACTGTGGATAACGCAAACGACGCTCCCATGTTTTCTAACACGCCTTTCACTGTCAGTGTCGACGAAAACGTCAACAGTGGAAATCTTTTCACTGTAAATGCCTCAGACGAGGACGGGGATGCCATTTCGTTCACCTTATATGGGGTAGGAAGTGAGTTATTTTCAGTGCATTCCAGTAGTGGAGTCGTGTCTTCGGTTGAAGTACTTGATTTCGAATCTGTCAGCGGTTACACACTAACAGTCCGGGCTAGTGACAGTTATGGAGGAGTGGCAGTTACGTCACTCTATGTTAACGTTGTCAATCAAAATGATGGCCCCGCCTTTGTGGGAACGCCTTATAGTGCGAGCGTGAACGAGAACGTTGCAATTGGTAGCACTGTCATTTCTCTTACGGCGACTGACCAAGACGGCGACTTTTTGACGTTCAGTCTAACTGGAAGTAATGATTTTACCATTGGTACATCCAACGGAATTATAACAACCAGCCAGGTATGTATATTCTATCATCAAAACTATTCCAGATGATTATGTAGAGGAAAACTGTAAACTGGGGTGGGTTATTGTGTCTAGTTCATTCTGAGTGTATTTCCATCGAGTATCGTGAAACCAGACACAGTGTTCATAACAGCCAGTTTGAATTATGGGTATGCATATGAAGCTAATAAGCACTTTATGGGAATAGCTGTCAATGCAGTTAAGAAGCTAATAAGGACTTTATGGCAATAGCTGTCAATGCAGTTAAGCGAAGAAAAACGCCGGCGACCAAACTGTCTGGTTTCAGTTTCTTGCAATTTTTGATGAGGGTTTTGCGAGTTTTTGAAACCAGTCAGGGAGTGTACTGCAGAAAAAAAGGCAATCCCTGATACTTTTTAACACTTAAATAAAAGTTGCTTCAGAGTCTTCTTATCGTACTTGGAATCTGAATTTGGGATTTTCTTCAGTCTTTAATTGAAAAAAATTTTGTTGACGATGCTTCCGACAAAAGTTAAAGATCAAATTGTTTTGATTTTTATCTACTTACTTTGGTTTCTTGTTATTTATGCCAGAAGTGTTATATCTATTCGGCCAACCAGCATGTTATACCGAAATCGATCAAACGTGGACTCATGTTCTTTCCCGCGTTTTGCCTGTGCCTGTTACAAGTTCTTTCTTTTGGTAGCTTCGCGTAGATATGTGTTTGCCATCTGTTCTTACCAGGTTTTGGATTATGAAGCGAACAGCTCTTACTCCCTGATCGTGGGTGTTTCTGATGGCCCGGCGACAGTCTCTCAGCCGCTGACTATTAGCATCCGGGACGTGAATGACCCTCCAGTATTTACTGATGCGCCTTACGCCGTGAACGTGAATGAAAACGAGGTTGCAGGCGCAGTTTATACAGTCAGCGCCACAGATCAAGATGCTGGTAAGTGTGTTAGGGAGGATGACACCTCTCGTTTTTTATCTCTTGTGAGGGTTCATGTGTTTGCAGCTTTTTCTTTTCATACGCCAAAGATGTATGTGAGATTGACCCGCTGTTGATTAAGAGCGTTTGTTGATTTACTAGCTCGAACCTCTTGACATTTCTTTGAAAGCTTGGAGCATTATACTTAAGTTGCAAAATAAATTCAAAATTAATCTGAGAGTACGAGAGTTCTTGTATTGTTGTCTAAATGGAACAATGTTCAGCAAAAAACATCTAACGTGTGAGATTGGACATTTTCCTCCTTCAGGACTCATCACTAGAGATGATGATATAGTTTTCCTTTTTTTTATTTAGATGATTCAGTTACATTTCTGCTGGCTGGTCCAGGAAGTACTGACTTCTCCATTCATCTAACTAGCGGTGTTGTATCATTAAGTCAGGCGCTAGATTACGAATCACTTCCATTCTATTTGTTAACAGTCATTGCCTCCGATACGAATGGCGGTATGGCTCAAACTATACTCAATGTGTCAGTTGTAGATCAAAATGACTCGCCTGCCTTCGTTGGTGCTCCATTTGCAGCCCAAATTGATGAAAATCAAGTCAGCGGTTCCACCGTGTTAAAACTTACTGCCACTGATCAAGATGCAGGTGATTTGCTGACCTTCAGTATCGCGGGTTCGGACCACTTCGCTTTATCTTCAAGTGGGCGTATTACGACCACCAAAATCTTAGACTTTGAGTCTGTGAACACTTACACTCTGAGTATCTCTGTCTCTGACGGTAAGACTTCTGTAACAGAAGCTATAACCATCTCAGTCCGTGACACAAATGATTCGCCAGTGTTTGTTAATTCGCCTTATGCTGTCACCTTACCCGAAAACAATGCTAGCGCTGTCGTGAGTGCAATGAGTGCCATTGATGACGACAGCGGTGATATACTGACATTTTTCCTATCAGGGGTAGGCAGTGGTGATTTTTCCATCCTGTCATCTACTGGGTTAGTTTCCCTTAGCAGAGCGTTAGATTACGAGAGCAAGTCTAGTTACGTGTTAAACGTTATTGTGCGTGATGAATACGGCGGTCAAGCGAGTTCTTCTTTGAGCGTTACGGTCTCTGACGAAAATGATGCCCCTAGTTTTGTTGGGACTCCGTACAGCGTGTCACTTGATGAAGATTTACCCGTAGGAACCATAGTGTTGCAGGCTTCTGCAGTTGATGAAGATTCGTCCGATATCCTAGAATACACCCTCTCTGGTGATAACAGCACGGATTTCAGCATTGCTCAAAACAGTGGCATCATCACAACGGCTGTTAGTCTTGATTACGAGTTAGTTAGCTCTTATTCCCTCACAGTGTCTGTTACAGATGGAAAATCTTCAGTCTCACAAGTGATCACTATTAGTATTACGGATAAAAATGACTCACCTACCTTTGTAGCCGCGCCTTATTCAGTCACAGTCGCAGAAAACACCACCACAAGCACACTGCTCACGGTGAGTGCCACTGACAAAGACAAGCCGGACAGCTTGAATTTTCTACTTTTGGGATCTGGCAGTGAATTTTTTTCACTGCACCCAACATCCGGGGTATTGGCTTTAACTACGGCATTGGATCACGAGGTGACATCATTATATACTTTAACTGTCTTTTTATCTGACAATAATGGGGCAGTCACGACCACATCAATATCTGTTTCTGTCTCGGATGTCAATGATTCTCCCCAGTTTCTTGGCACACCTTATGCAGCGACCGTCAGTGAGAATCTTCCTAGCGGAAGTGACGTTATAAAAATTGCTGCAAACGATGCAGACGGTGATGCTTTGAGTTACAGTTTATCAGGAACAGACAGCGGATGTTTCAAGATTTTTCCCTCTTCCGGTTTGATTGAAACTTCAAAGGAGCTGGACTTTGAGGCAGTCAGCTCTTACTCTCTGACTGTGACTGTAAGTGACGGAAAAATCAGTATCTCCACGGATCTTGCTATCTCCGTCATAAACGTAAACGATGCACCTTACGTCACTAATCTACCTGCCAACGTCAGTTTGTTCGAGAATGACGTCACGGTTCCCGTGATTGACGTCAATGCAACAGATCCCGACGGCGACAACATCACTTTCGGCCTAAGTGGAAGCGGAAGTGACGACCTTGTCATAAATCCCGCCACAGGACGCATAACCTTAAGCAAGCCGCTTAACTATGAACTACAGGCACTCTATTCGTTGACAGTGAGGGTATCTGATGGGATAGGAGGCGTGGCTGTAGCGTCAATAACCGTCATAGTTGTCGATAAAAATGATGTGCCTGTAATCCTAGGCGCTCCACACACAACAAGCATCGACGAGAATGTGAATGACGGAATTGTGGTCTATGAAGTCGCAGTCGTTGACGAAGATACCGAGGATTCTTTTACCTTCAGTATATCAGGGAAAAACAGTAACCATTTTGCAATTTCTGCCGCTGGAGTCATAACCTCAACTCAGAAGCTGGATTTTGAGGCTGTTTCTTTGTATACTCTTATTATAACCGTCTATGATGGCACAGAAACTGTCAACACAACATTGACAATCTCCGTCGTGGATAGCAATGACCCGCCCCAGATCCTCAACGGCCCATACACGGTCACTGTGGATGAGAACGATGTTAGTGCTACTGTGGTCAATGTTACTGCGGTGGACTTGGACAGTGGTGAGTCTCATATTTCGTTGTACAAACATATAACCGTAACGAAGAAAAACTGAACATCACCTTCTTGATGACATGGCTACGTTCGACGCTTAACCTGAAATTTCTTTAATATCCACAAAAAACCCATAGCTCTGCCCTGATTGATGACATCTTTCTGTCGTCTTCTTCTCAGTTTGATGGCCAGAGCTTGGGTGGGAAAGGCGAGCCATTTGCTTCTTTCTGGAAAGGATAGTAGTCCATCGTGGGCAACTCTTTGTGCGAATACCTAAGAATTCACGAGCATTATTTATACTCTTTAATTGAGTAAGGCGGAGAGCGAGTTTATCCTTTTTAACTCCTATGAGTGATCAAAAAAAATTTTTTTTCCTCACAATATCAACACAAGATCAGGCTTACAAGTAATGAGAATATAGTAATATCAATTACGGGATTATCAGTTGATCTAATGCCAGATTTTCAAGTCTAAGGGCTCAAAAAGTGTCTAGCAGACAGTAAGCAGAATTGCTAATGAGATCTTGGGAGTGAAAGGGTTTAGTGCGTTTCTTAAAACATATGTACAGTGACTCATTGGAGGTTCAGACCGTGGGCCCATTTCTTCAGTAAGTGTTCTGTAAATTACCGGTACCGTGAAAACGAAACAGAATGGATCGTTGCTTTTTGTTTTTAGCTCAACCTACTGTTTGTAAGACTTAGATTTTTAAATATGGTTATTAAACCATTCAAATTAACAGGAATTTTGAGAAACAGGCCCTTAACTGCAAGATCCTAATGCCAATGCACTCATTATTTCTTGTGTGAAATTTCCTTAGGTCCAGCCGATTCGCTGACCTTTTTTATGCATGGTGCTGGTAGCAACTACTTGTCCATCCACCCAACCACAGGAGTAGTAAGCCTCTCACAAGCCTTAGACTTTGAACAAGTCCCCCAGATTATAATGACAGTGGAAGCCAGGGATGGCCGCGGGGGATTGGCCGCGACCAGTTTGACTGTTAATGTAAATGACAGAAACGACGCGCCTGCATTCCAGGGAACCCCGTTCAGCGTTGCTATCAGTGAAAATGTCGCGTATCGTTCAACTGTGGTCCAAATCACAGCTACTGATCCAGATAGCAGTGATACCCTCAATTACACGCTATCGGGAACAAACAGCTCTTATTTCCAGATCTCTTCTGCGACTGGTCTGATACTGACTGCGCGAGAATTGGATTACGAAGATGTGAATTATTTCTTTCTCACTGTAAGTGTTAGTGACGGGAAGACGACAGTTACCCAACCGCTGACCGTCACAATCACAGACACAAACGATTTACCCATGTTTTTAAATGCCCCTTACTCAGTGCAAATCAACGAAAATGTCATCTACAGTTCCATTATCTTGGCAAACGCCACGGACCCTGATAACGACACATTGCGTTTCACGCTTTCTGGATCACGAAGCTCACAATTCACGATTCACGGATTGACTGGCTTAGTCTCCCTAACCGAAACGCTGAACTTTGAAGAATTCACTACGTTCGTGTTGACACTAACTGTGTCAGACGGAAAAGGTGGTGTGAGTGATACCACACTGACTGTCGAGGTCATTGACCATAATGATCCGCCTACCTTCGTTAACACTCCATTCAGCGTGGTAATCGACGAAAACATCAACATTGGAACACAAATTATCCAAGCGTCAGCTACTGACGAAGACAAGAACTCCTCTCTCACATATTCGCTCACTGGAGCCAACAGCTCGGTTTTTACGATTTCCGTAACAGGTATCATATCTACGATAGGGGTGATCGACTTCGAAAGCCGCAGTTTGTACTCATTGACTATCTGGGTGGGGGACGGTGCCTCAACTGTGAGCACTCCTCTGACGGTGGCCATCAATGATATCAATGATTTGCCAGTGTTCACCAACACATCCTACACTTTATCACTGAAGGAACGAACCGGTGCATCAGTCAGCATTTTGCAGGTCTCTGCTAGCGATCAAGACGGAGACAATATTGCATATACCTTCGTAGGAATCACTAGCTCAGATTTTACCATAAACAGTGCAAATGGTGTCATAGCTACATCTGTCGTTCTTGATTACGAGAGAACACCTTCCTACGTCCTTAACGCGCAAGCGGATGATGGAAACGGCGGAAAGACCTTGTCCAATGTCATAGTGAATGTTATTGACCTTAATGATGAAACACCATTATTCAATAGTGCCTCTTACAACAGTTACGTGACAGAAAACGCTTTGATTGGCTCATCTGTTATGATAGTGACTGCGTCAGACGAAGACGCTGCTGATAGCGCGCTGGCTTATGAACTGTCAGGAACAAACAGCTCTCACTTTGCTGTGACAAGCAACGGTTTAATACAAACAGGGAGAGACATTGACTACGAGAGTGTCCAGGGCTACTCGCTAACTCTAACAGCCACAGACAGCGCGAATAATACAGGCACAACTGTTATAATAATTACAGTGGTGAATGTGAATGATAATGATCCAGTTTTTAGCGCTGCAACGCTCAGTGTAGATGTGTCGGAAGGCAGTGCTCCTGGTACGAGTGTCGCCAAGTTAACAGCAACTGACGGTGACCTTGAGGACACTATAACATACGCATTGTCAGGTAAAGTATCTTTTAATGATTACTAGGATCTTATGATGTTAGTACATTAAGCTTTGTTACATACGGAAGCTGAGTCTTTTTTCTTTTGTTTAATGCTCCCTTAATGCTGTTAATTATACCCATTACAATTTCCTTACATGTTTGTGGTGGATGAATGCCTCATTTTTCGCTAATAATTCTGTCCAGTTGTAATCGGCCCAGTGCAATCGAGCAGATGGTTCAAATTGGACAGTTACATCAGCCAATCACTTTAGGAATACTCAAGTGAATCCACCAATAAAACAATTGATCAAAGTGACTATAGCAATGGCATATCATCCCAAGCTAAGGATTTTCCAAAACAAAGGAAGCTGTTTCTAGAGTTTTTCGGTGTGTTTTTGTCGAAGATTATAGTAGTTTATTGTTGAAAGATTAGAATAACAGGCCTTTTTTTAATCAATACACTTTTTTTAAACTTGGAAATTAAATGGTTTGTAGTTGATCTTCCAATTCGGTAGGTGGTCATAATCGTGAAAAAAAAAGAAAATCGACTGGTTGTCTTCCCTCAGCTTTTAGCTGCATAAGCAATTTGTCGAACTGAAGGAAGCCAAGCTTACTTTCGATGACGTGCATACTTGAAACATAACTCAATATTAGTTTTAATGTTACTAAATCTGCCCTGACATAGGATCCGACAGTGTCAACTTTGCTGTTAATGAAAACACTGGAGTTGTCTCCACTATTGCCTTACTGGATCGTGAATCCCAAGATTTTTATTCCCTGACTCTCACTGCCACGGATTCTGGGGGTCTTTTCTCAATGGCTACAATTAACGTCACAGTCACTGACGTCAACGATAACACTCCCGTATGTGCAGAGGCCGTCTACGCAGCTTCAGTGGCAGAAAATGTAGCTGTTGCTTCTTCTTTGGTAACGGTATCGTGTTCTGACCTGGACGCGGGCTCAAACGGAGAGGTTTGTAACCTTGCTGCTCTTTCAATTTTATCCATTCTTCTTGTCTCAGGCTGCGCTTTTCTCTTTGTGCACCATTGCATACAAATCTCGTAGGGTGATTTTTCTTATAATTGTGTTCAATAAAAGCGGGTGCAGAAGTCTACCGGTCGTGCTGGTGAGAGAAATTTTTAGTTACACAATTGATTAGTAAACTCTCTCTTAAGTTTTACAAAAGCAGCAATGTTTGAAAGCATTTTGATTTTTTCTGTTTTCAGGTGACTTACAGTATTTTGTCGGGAGACGGTGGAGTCTTTGTAGTGAACTCTTTAACTGGCGTAATAAGCATCAGTGCTTCTCCAGATTATGAGTCGTTACAAGAATACTTAGTGACTGTACAGGCCACAGACGCTGGTTCGCTGCCGCTGTCCTCCATTACCACGGTAATCCTTACAATTACAGGAGTCAATGAATTTATTCCTCACTTTATCCCTAATAACTCTTACGTCGTCACGGCCGCAGAGAGCTTGGCGCTAGGACATGACTTGATCACTGTGTCGGCCAATGACGCAGATGCTGGTTCCCAAGGCGAGGTTACTTACACCATAAGTGCAGGAGATACATACGGGAATTTCGTGATTGATAGTCACACTGGAGTCATTGAATTGGTTTCTAGTTTAGATCACGAGGCTAGTTCTCAGATCACTCTCACAGTGACTGCCACTGACAGCGATTCAGCGAGTCCGCTCAGTGCCCAGGCAACTGTGACAGTGAATGTGGTCGACGTGAATGACAATCACCCAGAATGCCTTCCGACATTGCTAGCACCCGCAGTACTAGAGTCAGCTGTTTCTGGCGATGTTGTGGCCACCCTTAATTGCAGCGATCCAGACAGTGGAGGCAATGGAAAATTATTTTATACCATCTCAGCAGGAAACTCAGATGGTAAGATTACGAATACTGAACAAATTATGGAAATGTTGTGAACTTTGTAAATCTAAACCTTTTCCATGGAAGAGGCTTTTCTTTGCAACTCGTTCAAACTAAACGATAATTTTTCAGGATATTGAAGATGTTTATGTTGTGACCATAACGAAACTGTCTACTGCGTTTAGATAATTTTACCCCAATAGATTGTTTCGTAAAGCTGTGCTGTTTTTTTCTCCCTCAGGAAGATTCAATATTTCAAATGCAGGCAAAGTGAGCGTGACAGACATTTTAGATTACGAGACAGTCACGTCATACTACCTGGTAATCACAGTCACAGATGGAGGTGTTCCTTCTTTGTCAACTGAGGTTTCTGTCGCGATATCTGTGTCTCCCGTCAACGAGTATGCCCCAGTCTTCGTCAGCAGTGGCAGCTATTCGGTCTCAATCCCTGAAGATACAGGCCTCGGCATGGAGCTCATTCGTGTTACGGCAAACGACGGGGATGACTCAAGTCATGCGCACGGAAGAGTAATTTACTCCATCATTTCCGGAGATACCGGATTCTTTTTCTTCATATCTGCTGACAGTGGGGCGATACAGCTCGCAAGGAGCCTGGATCGAGAAGTAGAGTCATCCTATGTCCTTATAGTCAAGGCTACCGATGGAGAAAATGACGTGAATGCCACAGTGTCAATCACTGTCACAGACTCCAACGACAACCAACCCATTTGTAGCCCTTCCTCGTATAGTGCTGCAGTCAGTGAAGATGTGGGGCTGGGAACTAGTATATTGATTATCACATGCTCTGATGACGATGAAGGGAACAACGGCCTGTTAATCTACAGGTGATGGTTTCTCACGTGTTTACTTATCCACCATGTACTCATTGACTGAGTGGGAGGACAGGGAAGATGTTTAGCTCGAAGTTACAATGTACGAACCGAGCGCAGCGAGGTCCGTACGTCATGACCGAGAGCCAAATATTTCCCATCAAGCCCGACCTAACTCAGTTAATTATAAAAAGAATTTTATCGTATGGCCGTTGCTTTCTCTTTTTCCTCCTTTCTCCTTTTAGCTAGCATCTAACAGCCATCATACGAAGAATTTTGTCTAACATTTCTCATTAAAAATGCGGAACCTAACGGGTCATATAAAAGTACAATTATTTATGACCAACTGTTAATCAAAATTCATCAGATTATGTGTTACACTTGCCTTTCGCGAGCTACTGTCCTCTTCTTTCGCGGATAAATTGCAATCCCGCAGCTCTATGTGGTGTTTCAAATGTCAACTGAGCGTTGAATTATTTTTGTTCTTTGTATCTTTATAGTATCATATCCGGGAACACTAACAGTAGCTTCACCATGGACTCAAACGGCACCCTGTTTACAGCCGCGTGGTTAGACTACGAGACCACGCCCACTTTCACATTGTCAGTTCGTGCACGTGACTCGAGCAGTCCGTCATCATCTCAAAAATCCACTTTTATGGAAATAAGTATTGATGTTATTGCAGTGAATGAGCATGAGCCCTTGTTTGCCTTTGCTCAGTATGCTACGAGCGTAACTGAGGACACGGCCGTGGGAACTTCAATTATCAGGGTAACGGCTACGGATCAAGATTACGGACTGCAAGGTAATCCCCGATGTCTTTGTTAAAAAGTTCTACGAAATGATAGCATAGGATATTTGCGCAGCAGAATACTAACTTCAACTTGAAGAATAAAACACAATGGTAGTTTTGTAAGAAAGAAAAATACAAGAGAGGGTTGAGGACTCTAGAAGCATCAAGGATGGCTAAGAATAGAGAAAATTTTCTCGTACAATGATCGTCAAATGTTTGTGAAACGAATTGTTCCCGAAAGACCGCTAAATAGATTTTGATTGGCTCCGATGTTATTCTTTTTGTTATACTTAGTTACTATCGTGAGCCTATACGATAGCAAAGTGAGTATGCGCAGTAGTCACAAATAATTGAACTTGAAAAATCGAAATACCATTTTGTAAGAGATATTTAAGAGGTAGGTATGTTGCATGCCTGACTGAAGGTTAATTAACTTATCGCATACCAAGAGCATCCTGATGCATACTCAGTTCAAATATGAGTTTTACTGAGTCAGACATTTTTAAATGCTGTCTTAGGAGATGTGAGTTACGCCCTGACACCGTTATCAGTACCGTTCTATATCGACACTAACAGTGGTGTGATTCGTGTGAAGACCAGCCTTGACAGGGAGAATGTCGATACCTACATTTTGACAGTCACCGCCACTGACAGGGACCGCAACATAGCCGATCGTAGATCATCGTCCGTGAATGTCACTGTTACTTTGACTGATGTTAATGACAATGATCCTGTGTTTTTTCCTGATCATTATAAAGTAAGTGTATTAAAATTCATCAAAATGTAAGGTTTATAAATGCAAGATTTTGTCCTGGTTTCTGTCGTACGAGGCAACTGATTGATTCGTACTTTTACTGGGAATAACCCTTTGTTACAGGTTGAATTTTATGAAAATACCACAGCCGGTTCCAGTATCACTCAACTGCAATGCACCGACCAGGACCTGGGCACTAACTCAGCCCTTGTGTACAGCATAACCGATGGTGACCCGGATGGTTTTTTTAACATATCCTCTGGCACTGGTCGAATCACCTCAGCTAAAAAACTCGACTTTGAAGACGCCCAATCATATTCCTTGACTGTTGAGGCAAGTGACAGTAGTTCACCAATCAACTCGCGACACACGTCTGTATCTCATGTTGATGTCATAGTGACTCCACTAAATGAACACGCCCCTGTGTTTAGCCAGTCGTCGTATGACGTCACCATCTCGGAAAATACGGCGATTGGTGCTTCAGTTCTGTCAGTTACTGCTACAGATGGTGATTCTGGCTCGCAAGGGGAGTTGACTTTTGCTCTGTCCAGCGGCTCGCCATTTTACATCGACAAGATCAGCGGCGTCATAAGGTTACAACAGGAGTTGGACTTCGACGCTGTGACGTCATATTCTCTATTGGTGACAGCAACTGACGGAGATTTAAATTCCTCTAAATCGTCAGTTGTTAACATAACCGTAAAGTTGCGTGATGACAATGATAACGCACCAATGTTTAGTCCCGTCCTGTATAGCGTGACAATCACTGAAGATACGGCCGTGTTTACTAACATCTTGAATCTGACATGCGCGGATGCCGATTCTGGTACGAATGGACAATTTCTTATGGCAATAACTTCAGGTAAATAACTACTTACATATTTCAGCGCAAAACTTATTGCTCGTAAATTAACTAACCCCAGATGCTTTAGAGGTCTGTAGCACTTCATGGCCGATGATCCAATAAATGCTTTGGAGGGGGGGGGGGACACGCATGTCATCTGGTCGTGATTGGTTTGAATCTGACCTCTCGATGGCTCTTAGTGAGGCACAAATCCGAGCCGATTTTCATATCAAATTCAAACCCCAGACAATGAAGGATTATCTTTCTAAACTTAGTAAACAATTTTCCAATGTTTTTCTTCCTCACTCCCTAAGGGAATGTTGGTACAGGATTCTCCATCTCAGACGAGGGATTTCTAAGTGTTGCCTCAGCTCTAGATGCAGAAACAACTTCTTTCTATTCTCTTGAGATCACCGCAACAGACCGGCACCCAAGCCAGCCGCTCTCTAACACAGCAAAAGTAACGGTTACCGTTACTGGTAAGAAAGGTCATCTCGTTATTTACAATGGCACTTTTCAAATAACCGAGGGAGTACGAGCTAGCTGTTTGAATTGTTAAATTCTTGACTTGTTGATCTGCTGGGTAATGTTAAATGAAGTTGAATTGAAAGTGAAATATTAGTTCTACCCGGATACACTTAATCTGCAATACCCATTTATTCTTCTCTCTCCCCTAGAAATATAAATTTTTTTCATCGCCGTTAGCTCTATCTTTAATCGTAATTCGGAAAGCACCTTTTCCTTTTCTTTTTTCTAGATGCAAACGAACACTCTCCGCAATTTACAAATGGCGGATCGTACACCGCCCTGTTGGCAGAGAATGTTGGTGTGGGAGCATTAGCTTCCAGTGTTTCAGCGACTGATCTTGACATCGGCTCTGTATATGGCGTTGTTACCTACGCAATCACATCCGGAAATACCAATGATGTCTTTGCGATCAGGCCGACTGATGGTATGGTTTTTGTGAAGCATTCGCTTGACAGGGAGACAACAAGCTCTTACAGTCTTACAATTAAAGCCAGTGATCAAGATCCAGTTTCTCCCTTGTCATCCACAGCCACGCTTCAAGTTACTCTCACGGACATCAATGACAACGCACCTATATGCAATCCTTGCATTTACGGAGCGTCCATCAAAGAGTCTGTTGCCATAGGGACAATAGTTATTCAGTTAAACTGCTCGGACGCAGATCTCAAGCCGAATACGATCAGTGGGTACACAATAACAACTGGTTAGTATCAATACAGAACTTCAAACGTTGACAATCTCGCATTGTGATTTGTTGTCCAGAAGGGGTTTGCTGCTTATAACTAACGCAACGTAACGTAACGTAACGGTCGCTGATTTTTCCTTTTACAATAGGGTCCTTATCTTGCAACCGGGTTGTGCCGCTTACCTCGAAAGATACATGTTAGAATTTTCCTTAGAACAAGGAAAAATCTGGGTTGATATTCTGGGGCATTCAAGTTCATGAATTCTAGACCCTGCTGAGAAGAGCACAAGAAAATATTGAGGAATGAAAATAGCCTTGGTGTATTTTCCCAAATATTTGTAATATTGTAAGAAACACTCTAGATACGTAAAGAAACGTGCCATAAACAATGCGTCACCATGGTTTTCGTTCTCTAGTTCTTTGAATTGCTTCTGGAAATTGTTGTTTAAGTTAATTATTGTTTTGGATAGATGCTCTTCGTCGTATTTAATCGAATCATTCTTCACTGTTTATGTGAAGTTCATTGATAAAGACAATACATGCAGTTTATGAGGATTAAAGAGTTGTTCGGTTTGATCGTTTAGTTAAATAATTTTTTTTAGAGTAAAAATCCTTTTTAGAGCAAATCAACTTCGAAGTAGTCCCATGTAAGTGGTTGTCTAGGCTTATGGTCGTTAAGTTCGATATATGAATAATGCCCTTAATTTGATGAAGTATTTATTTCGTATATCTAACATTTGCTGCGGTTCTTCTGACTGCATAGTTGTACGTTTTCCTTTCAGGGAATACGACTGCCTTTGGTGTGAACGGAGATGGTCTAGTCACGACACTCGTCACTCTAGACTTTGAGGCTATTAAGTCCTACCTGCTCGTGATCACGGTATCTGATGGCGGCTCGCCCAAGCTCACCACCAACGTAACTGTCAGTATCCAGGTCACCGGAGTAAATGAGTTTTCGCCTGTGTTTAGTAACTCGACATATGCAATCAGCCACTCAGAAGTTAGTTAAAGATACTTATCTGTTTTGTACGGATTATAAAAACTCAATTTTTTTCTCTAAGGGACAGGGGATGGCCTTATGTCCGCATAATACACAAATGTCCTAATTTATGTTTTGAACGCTCGTTCTAGGACATTATCTTTGGCACCACTATCACATCAGTGACAGCCACTGACCGAGACCACGGACCTGATGGCTCTGTCCTCTTCTCTTTAATCGATGGCGACTCCGAAGGGAGATTTCAAATCGATCCTAAGTCGGGCGTAATCGAACTAAGAAAACAGCTAGATCGTGAAACGAAGGAAATGTATTCTTTGATCATTCGAGCCACTGACCAAGGTGTTCCTAGCTTGTCAAGTACAGCGACAGTTAATGTTGAATTACTTGACGTCAATGATAATCCACCACTTTGTAACAATTCCTCTTACGTCATCGAAGTGGCAGAGAACTTCACGGTCAATGGGACGGTACTGAAACTGCAATGTAGTGACGCTGACGTTGGAGAAAATTCTGTTGTTTCATACAATATATCTTCAGGTAAAGCCTCCGTTGTTCATGCCTTGAATTGGAACAGTGGAAAATCAAATTGATTTCAATTAAATTTTAACCCTTTTTTTTCTTTTGCTGTGGTAATTGGTTCGACTTCTTAGGCGACGCAACCAGGATATCATGTGCATGCCATCAATACAGGGCACCATGGTCTCGAAAAACTCGACTTGTACTGTTAAACGCTTATGTTTCCAACTTCACATTGCGAGGCCATATAGGCCTAACCACCCAAAGCTGTAAGGACTCACTCAAACCTGATCATCACGTTTTTTATTTGTCGACTTACCCATAGTGTTCCTATAGTTTCTTGTAAGTGGAGATCATATGTTGAGGCCTAATAGTAATACCTTTTCTTTATTCCCAGGAAACACAAATTCTACATTCAGTGTTGATTCGAACACAGGGATCCTATCCTTGTCAGCTGCCCTAAACCTGGAGTCACAGGCATACTTCGATTTCATCATCGCTGTTAGCGATAATGGATCTCCACAACTCTCTACTCAGGTCACTGCATATATTGTGATTACAGCCGTTAATGAATTCGCTCCAATATTCACTCGGAATGGCTTCTACAATTTATCTGTTCCCGAGGATACCCCTGTTGGTACCAGTTTGGTAACAGTGCAGGCTCAAGACGAGGACAGCGGTAAACAAGGCATGGTTTTCTATTCCTTATCGATTGGTAATGAGGACGGTATGTTCCTTCTTGATCCAAACCTTGGGAATTTGATCCTAAGGAAGCCATTGGACCGTGAGGCACGTTCTCGGTATAGCTTGACGGTGCGCGCGTCTGACAATGCTCCCGCGCCCTTAACGAAATGGAGCCTTGCGATCGTGAACATAACTATTTCGGACCTCAACGATAACCCGCCTTCGTGCTTCCAAAGTGCAGTGGTAGTTTCTTTGTTGGAGTCCACAGTTGTAGGGACTGTGATTTTCACTGCAAACTGTACAGATGTAGACTCCTTTTCGATTCTTTCTTATCAAATAACTCAGGGGAACAACAAAGGAAATTTCAATGTGTCTTCCTCAGCTGAAGTGAGACTCAACAGGTCACTTGACATCGAGGATGAGTCATTATTCAGCCTGCTGCTGACCGTTTCTGATTCCGGCTCACCCGTGAAACATGCGTACATCTCATTGACGGTGAAAGTACTTCCGGTGAATGAACATAAGCCAACGTTTGTTGCCAATGACCAGCTGTATAATCTGGATGTCTTGGAAAATATCACATTAGGTGGGTTAAAAATGTCGTTCGTATCTTCCATAAAAATGTTTTCCTAGACAAATCTTTTCTGTTTATTGAACAGAAAAACTAATATTTGTTGAAAACACCAATAATCTTTTTCTTCATAAGGAACTGTCGTTTTTCAAGCCCAAGTGACCGACAATGACTCAGGAGTTCACGGAGACCTGCGGTACGTTCTTGTCAGCGGCAACGAAGACAACAAATTCTATTTGGACGAGGAACAAGGAAGACTGGTACTAGTCAAGGGTTTAGACAGAGAGACCACTGACCAGTATAACATCAGTCTCAGGGTAGAGGACAGTCCACTGAGTTCCCCGGATGTTAAGTGTTCCAATGTGACAGTGTACATTTCAGTTTCAGATGTAAATGATAACCCACCTGTGTGTACACCAGCCTTATTTGCCGAAGAAATTTTAGAAGGTAGGTGGAAAATAAGTGTAGAAAGTGACAGAAAATGATTGTATTGATCAATTTAACAACCACTTGGTTTCTGTCATGTGATGGTTGATGAAGACAAACTCGAATTAACTATCACGCATAGAAATTGAGAGCAAATGATCAAACTTTATCCGAATATAAATTTTTTATTTCAAAACTTAACACAATCTGATGTAATACTAAAGCAAACTGTTAGAGTAATCACTTTCCTCACTGTCTATAACAGGAAAGATAGCCCGCAGTAGCGTGACCAATCAGACATCAGCATTTGTGATAGGCCGCCACTTGATTTACACAAGATAACAATTAAACTTATTAGCCAATTGAAAAAGTAAGAAGAGGCCACAATGTTGCCCGTTCAACAAAGTCACCATTTCCTAAAAAAAAACTAGATTTCGCAGCAAACTTTGAAAAGTGTTTTAAACAATGAAATTCACATCTACATCATTTCCCAGACAGGTTTCGTTGTCAAAGCATTTATCAGAACAAAGTTATCTGTACAAAGATTCCCTTTGATGAGTTTCCTTCTTTAAAATCTGACATGAGTGAGAAATTTTTAAAACAAAAAAAAAAAATTCATTTTCAGCCATCTACACTACCGAGAAAAATATGTCCTCCACATTTTCCACAAAGAGAGTAAAGGGATAAGAATGATAACAATCTCGCTTCTATTTCTTAATTTTCATTGATGTACATTTTTTTTTTTGCTTTTGTTTGTTTTTTTTTTCAGACATTCCTATTGACACAAACGTGACGGCAATTGCCTGCACGGATGAAGACCTGGGACCAAATGGAAATTTCTCTTTTGAAATTGTCAGCGGAAACTTTGGAAAGAAGTTCAGACTGGACGACAACAGAGTCGTTGTAAATGATAGGCTAGATCATGAGAACGAACATGAATATAGCTTGGAGATTCACGTGACAGACCATGGTGTTCCAAATAATGTAGCTGTTGTTATGGTAACATTGTATGTAAAAGCTAAAAACGAGTTCGCCCCAGTCTTCCAGCACTCCAACTACACCGTCAATATCTCCGAAGCTACAGCAGTGGGTAAGTTTATTCGAAAATTTCTTTTTCAAAATTTCATGGCAGAATTGTATCCATTGTCCATTGGCCTGAGAGGAAACAAAAAATCTATCGTCTGAAAAAATCACTACATTGAATTACTGACTCATCAAACACGAAGGTCTTTTAAAGAGTATTAACGCTAGAGGCAACTTACATAGCATAGAGAACAGTGCTTCTGGAAAGGAAGGAATACAACTGAGTGTTCAATGATGGCTCTATCCAACTTGGACTTAAGGCCAGAAGGAAATACCGTTTACAGTACATTAAGTACTCCTTGATAGTGCTCAACAAGTTTTATTCGAATGGCAACACGCTTGGAATCACTCATTACCGATTCATTAACGTTAGCCAGCTCTATGGGCGCGTTACAAAATAGTTTTGTTTTAGTTCATTCATTTATGAAGAGCCACGTAGAACTATCTTGCATCCAGAGCGAGTTTACGTAGACTAGATAAACGTAGGCCCCGGTTTTATTGCATGCAAGAGCTTTTTTTAAACCCTGGAATTCGAAATTAAAGGGAATCAGTGCTAGAACAATTTGGAAGCGAAGGTTAGCTTTTCTTTGTTTTCCAAACATTCATGACTCTGAATTCTTCAGGTTCTCAAGTATTTGACGCAAACGCAACCGACTCGGATCAAGGCCTTCACGGTCAGCTAGAATATTTCATCGCCAGCGGCCTGGACGGAGGAATTGACTTCGTTATGGACTTACTAGAGGGACACGTTTTTGTGGGGGCTGAATTAGATAGAGAAACAAAGGAACTCTATGTCTTGAACCTTACGGTTAAGGACAGAGCTGATAAAGAGAGCGACCGTAGATATGCTATTATGGAGGTTAGTGCAGATGGGAGCTACTGGTAAAGATATAAAAAGCTTGATTAAACTTTGTAACCAGTATTTTTGATGATGCAGTTTAATGTTGAGTCTAGGTCCCCGGTCAACGCGTTTTGCGAAGTCCTCGGTAAAACGAAAACTCCTTTTGTACGGGTTCTCAAGGGAGTAGGGCTGGGAAGACGGGTATTCTGAGAGATAACAAACAACTGACTCTGTTTACGATATGACAGCTTCAACAAAGTGTTCTCTAACTAACAGAACGGAGTGACCTCCAAAGGTATTAGGTTTGCCCCTCTGGTTGCCAGACGTAAGAACTTCCAATACGTTTTGAAATAAGCAGACATCATTTCCTATGTTGGAAAGCCAGTTTATCATCAGTGGTACGTGTTATTGAAATCTGTAAATGTACTAACAAGTTTATTCTAAATTACATTGCTTCCTTCCACCTTACAGTTGATCATCCATATATCCGACGAGAACGATAATCCCCCGGTCTTCACCGAGGAGATATACACTGCCACTATTCCTGAGAATGTACCCTCGGGAGTTTTAGTCACTCTTGTTAGCACTACAGACGCCGACATCGGAATCAATGCTGAGCGCACTTTCACAATCACGGGTACGAAAACAATAAGAGAATTTCTTTAATTATAGCGCAAATCAGTAGACCTGGTTATCGAGTTGAATCAGTTTTAAAGGAATTTAGCTTTAGCTACAAGGTTCTCAAAATAGGTCGGTAAACGGAGCATTTAACCGTCTATTCTAAGAAACAAACTTCAGATTTGTTAAAAAAAATTAAAAAAAAATAAAATAAAAGAGGCAATGGACCCACCTAACGACCGTTGTGGCATTTACAGGTGTAAAAGTTTAACACTGTGCCGCCTACTTTGTATCATAGTCCGGTTACTCAAAATCTTTATAGCAACCCTGTAAATAGTTTCACCTGTTTAATTACCAATGATAATTCATTTTGTCCTTTTTTTCATCTTATTCACTGAGCTTAAATTATTTTTATAATTATTATCATTATTATTTATTTTGATTTAAGGAGGCGATGGTGTCGGGAAATTCAGCATCGACAGTTCATCTGGCATGATATCCGCTCTGTCAGGCCTGGACCGAGAAACTAAAGACACCTACTACTTGTCAATCACAGCTCAAGATGGTGGCACCCCGCCGCTGACCGGTTTGTGTGCAGTGCGCGTGTTTATCTCGGATATTAATGACCACAAGCCCGTTTTCAGTCCGACCCTATATCTAACGAGCATTTCAGAAGCTACGCCTACCGGAACTGACGTGATACCTGTATATGCGTACGATATGGATGAGGGATTAAACGCTGAAATAGATTTTTCTATCGTTGGTGGCGATCCTAGGAGCCAATTTCAGGTGAGTTTCCGAGGAGGATGAGTTGGACATCTCTACTTAAACAATTATTTTAATATTCTTTTGAAAACGATGAAATCTCGACTTGTAAATTATCATGACTGCAAGGCCTAACCAAACCTTAGCTATTAACTCTATAACTCCCATGAGTGACCAAGACTGAATTTCTCCTTACAATATCAGTACAATATCATGCGGACAAGTGGTGAGAATAAACCTAAATACCAATTAGGAGATTATTAGTTGATCCAAGGACAAATTCTCCAAACTAACATCATTGAATTGTAAGGAAGAAAGTAAGGAGAAATACAAGTAAGGTCTTGGGAGTAAAAGGGTTAAAAAGAACCAGAATTGGTTTTCCGTTTTCAGCAAATATTGTATTTTGCGTTTGAAGTCTTTGTTATCAGTTGACCTCTCTTTGAACATGGCTGTGCAAAAGTGTACTTGAAATGAAATATTGAGTTGGATTAATGGGACTTTCACCTCAATCCAAAAGCGTATTTGTTATATCGTTGTATAATTGTTCATTCTTCTGATACCCTAATGAGCGCATCGAACTGGAAACGATTCTGCCTTTAATGTAATTTACATTGCTCTCCACCACAGATAAATTATACAGGTGTGATAAGCATCAAGAGTTCCTTAGATCGGGAGGACATTTCTTTCTATACCCTGCTAGTTCAAGCGTCAGATCAAGGCACCCCTCCCCTGACAGAAACCGTTTCTGTAAACGTAACAATCGAGGATATCAACGACAATCCACCGGTATTTTCTGACAGCAATTTCACCGTAACTGTGGCTGAAAATCTGCCAGTTGGCACACGATTTCTGAATGTAACTGCATCAGATTCTGATATAGGGGAAAATGCCCTGCTAGCATGGTCTATCGTGAGTGGAAACGTTGGCGACGTCATGGCCATAGATTCATCCTCAGGGAGGTTATATAATGTGGGTGAGTTATCAATGACTATCGTAAAGACGTTTCCAACTGATCGTGGATAGTTTATCTCCAGGAGTGCATCAGTTTTGCTTTACAACACTCTGTGATTAGCTTTGAAATCTCGCACCACCTTTTTAAACCAATCTATACAAAGGAGGAAAGTTTCTAAAGAAACTGTGATGCTGCGTCTGTGCGGTGTTTTGCAAGATAATTTGGTTTCATCTATTGAGTTTTTTTATGAAAATTTGCTGCCGTAATGAGCTTTCAAAGCTGACGTTTCGAGCATTAGCCCTTCGTCAGAGCGAAGGGATGGCTAATATCTGTTTGGTTACTCGCTTTGTCTCTGTTTCAGGGAGTTTACTTGTCTGTAATTTGAGTTCTCATTTTGCCTTCTGTTATGTTTTCCTTCGTGGTGACTTTAAGTTACTTTATGCTTAGACGTTTTCTGTAGAGCATCTAAGAAGTATTCAGGTTCAATCGATATGTTTCTCTACCATTTCTTCGTTGGCAGGTTCATTTGACCGTGAGACTACCCCGGAATACCTCTTGACAGTGAGTGTCGAGGATGCTGGAAAACCTTCTTTGAACTCCTCAACCAAAGTCACAGTGAGAATAAGCGACAGTAACGACAACTCCCCCGAGTTCAACAAAGCCGATTACACCTTCTTCGTCTTAGAAAACCAAGAAATAGGAACTTTCGTTGGAGAAGTGCAGGCCAATGATAATGATAACGGCACGCATGCGCAGCTTGTGTATTCTATTGAGTCTGGAGATGTTAGTGATCATTTTTCAATTAACCCGTCTCAGGGGACCATTTACACGGCCAAAGTGCTGGACAGGGAAGATGTCAGGGAGTATAGAATTAGCGTTAAAGCTTCAGATTCGGCTGTATTTCCATTTGACCTATCAAACGTCACGAACGTTTATATAACAGTCTTAGATCAGAATGACAACAGCCCCAGTTTTCCTCAGCCGTTTTATAATGCGTCGGTCCTGGAAAATTCCCAATCCGGGGTATCGGTTACAACAGTAACGGCTGAAGATCCTGACAGTGACGCTAATGCAGAGTTAACGTATAGCATTACCCATGAATCTTCAGTAGAGTATTTTAGTATTAGTAGTGTGACCGGAGAGGTGTTCGTAAAGAACCTGTTTGACTACGAGGAAGTGAAATTTGTGAACGTTACAGTTATCGCGGAAGATAATGGGATTGTCAGGCGCAGCGGCTCTGTTTCCTTGATTGTTTACATAAAGGATGCAAATGACAATGCTCCAGTTGTTGAAAAAGGTCAGTGCACTAACCTTGCAGCAGCTCTTGCTGTGGATATTCCTATACTAGTCAACGTACGTATTTTTTTAACTTCCCTCTTAAAGCTTTTTGTCTCCTATTTTGGCCAAATGTTTAGATAAGAATAAACAAAAATATGTTTACGAGAATGGTTTATTATGGAGACGATTTTTGAACGAAAAGGTATGCATAATGGGGTTGAAAAACTTGGTGTCAAGATAAACATTGTTCATCGTTATCAATCATTGTCATCAACCTTATTAGGCAATCGACAGATCTCAGATTTTCTTAGATTGTTTTAATTCAGCTCGTGGCCGCTTGATGATAAAAAGCGTTTATCGAAACATCTGTGTTTTTGAGTAAGAATTCCCTGCTTAAACGAGACTTATCTTCTTTGTAGTTGTTGTAAAGGAATGCAATTCGTTTTCAAATAGCTCAATTCTCTCTTCTTCGTTTGCGATATTCTTGCAACTTCGCAGATTTCTACGATGCACTCATTCGCCAAGACCGATCCTTCGACTCAGCTCCCATTGTTACAGTCTCTGCGACAGATAGGGACTCTGGTGACGCGGGGACTGTGGAATATGGCCTGCTGGAACCCTCTTCCGTTTTCACTTTGGGACGCAGCGATGGCAATATTCGCCTTTCATCATCTCCTGAGATCGGTAGAGTAAACTATTCTCATAAGTCTTCTGAAGTGATTCTGATTGTAAGGTTTCTAAAGAAAAAGAACTAATTCAAGTTTTTGATCAGGAACATGTCTTTGCTCAGAAGACGTCTTTTATTTTGCTCTTTTATAGGGAAACCATACGTGCTGCGCCTGCGCGCTACAGACCAAGGCACGCCGCCGCTGACCAGTGGTACCATTACGGTGCGAATTGATGTGATTGATCCAGAGAACACTATGGTTGATCTAGAACTGGAAATAAGTTTGGAACAATTTGAGGCAAATCGTGAGCTGTTTCTGGAGAAAATATCTCAGCTTTTGGGAGCTGAAGTAGGGATTTCAGAGATCGCTGTTATTACTGAAGAATTAAGAAGAAGAAAAAGAGAAACGAAAACTCGGTAAGAGCTAATTTTCTTGTTTGTACCCGTTTGGTGTCCACTCATATTTCCATGCTCGTACCTATTTCTGCATAGCGCTTTTCTTTGCCGTGCGTTTGATGAGTAACCATGCGTGTCTTTGGTCTTTCTGGACACCTTCACCAGTTGTCTCAATTAATTTTAATGCCTTAAAATAAAGTTTTGTAGCCTAAAGTTTTCTCTAGTTAAGCAGTGTAGCTTTCAATCACTGCTTTTGAGAAACTTGGTGTTTACCTTGATTCTTTCGATTTCATCCAACTTCACTTTATATATTCATTTTTTTTCTAGATTAAAAGTCACCATATATGCTGTAAAAAATCCAACCGGAAATACAACAGATCTTAATGAGAAATTATCGCATATCAAAGACTACATGACGCGAGACGATATTCTGAAAGTTCTCCTCGATGAGGATGGAAATCCAAGTCCAAACCTGACAAATGACAAGGAGTTAGAGGTAAAGGGTTGCTACTAACGCCAAGCGCAGAAATAATAGCCACTGACTCTAAGCGCAGGAAAAGTTGTTTACTGATTCCAAGCGCGGGGAAGGTTGCCACTAACTCCGAGCGCGCGAAACCTTTCCCTGATTCTAATGTGGGAGTAGTTGCTACTGATTCGAATCGCGGGATAAGTTGCTTCCGACTCCAAGCGCGGAAAAATTTTATTCTGACTCCACGCAAGGGAAACGTTGCCACTGACTCCAAGTGTAAGAAAAGTTGCCACTGACTTGAAGCATGGGAAAAGTTGCTCCTGACTCCGAGCGCGGGGAAAGTTGCTTCTGACTCTAAGCGCGGGAAAGTTGCCATTGACTCCAAACGTGGGAAAGTTGCCACTGACTCCAAGTGCGGGAGATTCAATTCGTAGTTCAGACCTGGAATGGTAGGCCTGAGGACGTTTGATTATTGAATACGTTCATTCGAATTTAAATCCTCGGTAAAGAGAAGTATAAACCCTTTACACCCTAAGATCAGTATGTACATTCTCCATACTGTCCTCAATACATTTCCTAAGGTACCGATAAGGAGAATTTGTTTGACAATCCAGAGCTTCTTTACTTGCTGATGATTTTCTTTATTCTCGTGACCTAACTGTGTGATTCAAGGGTATTACTGTAGGGAGTAACTAGATGCTGGTCACTCTCAGGTGTTAAAGTGATCTATACTTAAGGAACTGCAACAGTTAAAGAAAAGATATGTATTCAATTTAGACAGTTTCCGTTGTACTTGCAAGGAGCGAAGTTTTTGTTCTTCATTTGTAATAAGTACACTATCACCATAAAGCTCTGTTGAGGGTGAAACTTTTTTCTAGGTGTTTAACATTCGCACAGTGAAGGCCACTAAACCCACCATACCATCAACAATACCTTTCTTCAAGACAACTGTTGGTATCGTTAGTCTAGTGTTTGGATGTTTAATGGTGTTGGTGGCGATTGCTTCTGTTGTATTTTGGAAGAAGCGGGCAAAGAAAAGGTTGGTAGAAATACCTCATTTTTCCGAAGTTCATAAATACGCGAAATTTTCTTTACCTTAACTGTTTTTCAGTTATTTTCTACGCTAACGTCCTAGCCTGTGTTTTTGTTCGTGTTTTTGTTGTAGTCTGTTGGAATTTCTGTAGTTGGCCCTTCGACGTTGCTGTTTGCACCTGCTATATGAAAAACAGCTTACGCTGTCGTAAACTCGCAATGCGAAACTAAAGTTGTCGACAGCGCAAATTTCGTTCTTGATATCTGAAATCTCTGTTTACACTGTCGACCGAGCAGTGTTTAATTTTTACACATAATACATTTTCATGATGATTTATATTCTGATTTTTACATCAACAGAATACGAAGACTGGAATCTCGAGAACCTAATTTAAGGCCGAATAGAGGCCTCACAAACAGAGAAGTTGCTTTATACAAAGGTACGTGTTCCTTTCTTTAGAAAGTGGGCGGCATAAATTGTTCCCTAAAAGGGCCTTGAGAACCTTATAAACTTCTTTTGATTCATGCTCCAATTAATTTCTGTATGTGAAGTAGTGAAAAATTGATATCTAAGCTTTCTTCTTTCTAAAGGCAAGGATAAGCGAAACAAAATGGTCTCACCTATCATGGCGGAAAACCAAGAAATTGTAAGTATTCACGAAAGAGAGTTTAACAGTCGAAACGCCAGCTTTTAAAATTTCTTCTTCTTCTTCTTCTTCTGCGGCCAATTTACGTTATTAACTCAGTTGATAATACTAAATTAAGTGTACTGTTACTGCGTCTGTGCGGGAATCCATCAGAGTCTATGTGAATTTGACCTTGATTTGGTGGACGGAAAGCTAACCTGGCTAAAACGTTGTACGGCTAATTGTAATTTAATCACCGTAATTGTTTGTGAATATCTTCTTTGCACAGGTTGTTCACAATGGAAGGCGATTCGATGGAAGAGCTGTGGATCCAGGTATTTGTGAAGCCTTAATAAAAACGGTATTATTCATTATGGTTGAAAAAGATGTTCAATGTATGATACCAATAAAAATGCCAATACGGAGTTGTGCAAACTACTTATTACTGCCAGGTTTTCTCAATGTTGAAGGAGAATGTTAAACGAGTACTTGGAAGTAATTATTTAATAAGATCAACGCTTTCAATTCCCGTTCCCCTCGTACTTTTTGAAACGAAGTTTCGTCAAGGCGTTTGTCTTTCTAATTAATTTTTCTTTTCTCAACTATTTTTCCACAGTGACTGGGAAAGTTTACCTTTTCAATAAAACAACTGGTGAGCGCATGTGGCTCGAAGACTTGCGCGAGGGAAGGAATGGTCCCCAGTCCCTTTATGGTCACCGTCAAGCGCATTCGAGGTACGGTGATCGTCAGCACCACAGAGTGCAGGACTTACCACCACCCCGAGCGTCAATAGAGAAAATACACGAATATGACCACAGAGGCAATCATCTCCAGTTACCAGGAACACCCGAGGGGCATTCATAGCGGACTGTGTATGAGCTTGGATGACAAAAAGTCAAATGTTTTGACGTGTTAAGTGCACCACTGAACCTCTGAATTTAAATAATTCGGTC